GAAGCCGTGCTATAGTCATTGTTGGACCTGCTCTCATCATTGCTTGACTTGCTGCTTGACTGGAACTGTTGATTGGAACTGTTACTGTCGTGTGTGAAGAAGTGGATGGATCTGCTATCATCAGATCCAGATTAAACCAGTTTGTATGTATTGTATTCATTGCTCTCAGTACCGTTTCTCTGTGCACTTACTCTGCTGGTTGGTAACACAACAATATCCTTAACACCAAGGATTGGGAGTTGTAGGTCGAGGACTATCTGTATTAGCAGACTGATGCAGAAACCTGTAAACCAATCTGGTCACTGCTTATGGAATCACCTGTCTCTGGATTCATACCAGAATGGAGATTTTACAGTATCCTTCCCCTGCCACACCCACCATGCCACGCCCACCAAGCCACACCCACAGAACCGATAGTAAAAAAAAATTGAAACCCACCACTGGTATGTATGTATGTGTATATGTATATATTTAAATATACATATACTATTAATAAATATATATTAAATATATATTTTCATGCTAACTTCCTGGGTTCCTAGTAAGTTTCTCCCTTTTTACTTACTGCCTAGTGATTATCTAGTAATTGTGATTTTTCTTAAGAGGCCAATGACCACATCTTGGTATCACAGAGTGCAACATCCTGATTAGGCAAAAGGCAGAGTATGTGTGCATGTTTTAAACTTTCTTTTTCATGTCAGAAGCAAAAACTTTTCATGTTTTTTACAGGAGATTGATTCCTCACCCGCTATGCTGGCACTGAATTCCGTGCTTTAGAGAAAAACTCCTCTGAAGATTTCCGTTCAGTCTCTATTTCCAGGTGTATCAAATTCTAGAGGCAATTCTTTGAACATTGTGACACATGATGGATGAGCGGACTTTCCTTCTGTTGATGAACTCTGTTAACCTCATCTAACTAGGAATCAGTTACATTTTCTCTGCAGGTTCTGCTATCCCCAATCATTTTATCCCTCAATTACACAATAATCTTTCACTCACCAACTTTTAAGATCTTGGACAATCACTTTCAGACATGACATACCATATTTTTCGGAGTATAAGATGCACCAGAGTATAAGACGCACCTACCTTTTTTGGTGAGGAAAGGAAGAAAAAGAAATCTCCCTCTGCCTCTGAGCTATTTTGCCTCGTTGCAGCAACCAGCAAACAGCCTGCTTTACTTTCATTTTCGTTTTCAGCATAGCTTGATTAGCACAAGGGGGAAAGAAATCTGCTTCAGCAATTTACTTCTTTGTAGCAAGCAGCAGAGCCCTGCCCCAAACAGCTGAGAGCAAATCAGCTGAGAGTCAGGTGTGGGTGGGGCTACATTAGGTGTATTAGACACACCTATATTTTCACCCCCTTTTTTGGGGGGGAAGGTATATTTTATACTCTGAAAAATACGGTACATAATTTTGGAAGGTTTAATCTGATCTGATACAATAATAGACTTATAGACTAGAATAGTAGCTATATATTTCTGTGTTTGATATTTTATTATTAAAATCTTCCATACTTATATCTTCATAATCTTATTAGTCTCAATTGAGTCTCTTTTTTTGGTTTCCAACCTTTAGCAAGAAGATAAGAGATATAGGAGCAAATGTTGATGATAAAACTTTTTTTTTTTAATTGAAAAAGTTTTAAAACAAACACAATTTCCCCACAACCCTCCCTCCCAACCCCCCTCCCCCTCCCCGACTTCCCAGAGCAGAACACAAGGTATTTCTATTGACCTTTAACAATAACCAATCATTAAACTAACACCCCCTAAAAAAAAAAAATTCTTAACCCCCCCATATATAAAATCCTATTTCTTAAACATAATACTTCTAATATCACTTATATAGCGCTTATACAAATAAAAGAGATCATTCATAAGCTATTTGATATTTTTTGGTCTGATACTTATTTTGTATATAATCAATCCATCTTCTCCAGTCCTGTATATACCTTTCTTGTGTGTGATCCTTCAGATATGCTGAAATTTTAGCCATTTCAGCTAAATTAGATACTTTCAATATCCAATCATCAATAGTAGGCAAAAAATCCTTCTTCCAGTGTTGTGCTACCAACAATCTTGCTGCTGTTATCAAGTTCAAAATCAATTTAGTCTCTACAACTGTACAGTCCGTAGTTATACCCAGTAAGAACAACTGTGGAGTAAATTTCAGTCTCTTTTTAAGACTGCATCACCCACCAAATCTTTATCCAAAATGCTTTGATTTTTCTACAAGTCCACCATATATGATAATAAGTTGCATCATCACAGTCACATCTCCAACATTTAGCTTGCACATTAGGATACATACATGATAATTTTTTGGGATCTAAGTGCCATCTAGATGATAAAACTTTTCAGATGAGACCAATCCTGTTGAAATAAAATTTCCTTTACATAAGAGCTACCTAGGTTGTGGGCAGTTTCCTCTTCCTTCTGCTGGTTATTACCTTGTAAAAACAGGAAACAAATCATCATAGAATTTCATGCTCACAATGATTAGGCAAGACACAGAATATATCTGGTTGTGTCACACTTTAGCAAGATGTGCTTTTCTGTCCCAGAATAGAATAGATCTTCAAAACATCTGCTTATGATCTCCTGCTACACTGGCGTTTAATCCTGTGAATTTTCAACAGCACATCTGACAGGTTCTCCTTGACGTATGTTAGATTTTTGACATTATAAATAAGATCTATTATGTTTGGAAATTACTATTCTTCATCTATCGAACTATAATTAACCTAAAGAAGACTTAAAACCCATCAGGTTTTCTCTACAACTTGACCATCATCAATCTTTCCAGAAATCAATTATATGACATAGTAATCTCTCCAAATCTGATGTACCAATTGTTTGAGAAAGGTAAGATGTTTGGTAGATCTTAGACTTAAGCAAATGCAATAATATTCATCTACTTATCCAGTAATTTCTGCACCTGATTTTTCCGAACAAAATGGTGTTTGTTTGTTGTTTGTTGTTTGTTTTTGTTTTGTTTTGTTTTTGACATTTATACGTTGGTAGTTATGGAAATCTCAATTGTCCTCTTGGGGATTAATTTTCCAATGTATTGTTAGCCATAAAAATAGAACAGTCACAAACAATTAAAGGATCAGAAACACACAATTTTAATGGTCCTGATGTAAAGATAAGAGATGCTCCAACATTTCTCCTTTTAACTCACCCATTTTTCAACTAATTTGCCACTTATTTCCATGATGAAGTTCTCTCTCTGTGACTTTGTATGAAGTTCTCAATCTGTCCTGGGAATTTTTCATGCATTGCTGCCATCCAGGGCTGTAAATTGAAATTTAAGCTTACTTAAATTTATACTTTGCACTATTTCTGGTTTGGAATTGGGTATCTCTAATAATCAAACTTCAATTGATTTGAAAATTTCTCCCTCTCTCTCTCTTCCTCCCTCCCTCCCCCCCTCTCTCTCCTCACTGTGAGACCACAACACAGTGTGGTCACATTTCTCAAATATGCAAGTTCTCCTTTTTCTAACAACCCACACTCAAGGCATCATGGCACAAAACCTTCCATAGTTACAATTGGGGGTGGGGGGGTGTTATCAAATTTTGGCAGGGGATATAAGATGTAAGAATGTTTGCACAAGTTTGGAAGATGGATCATTTCCCATCCGACCAACAGATAATACAAAAAATATATGCATGTGCGGAATCAGATCAACTAACACTGAAATTAAAGGATAAGGAAAGCTCAAAGTATTTTAAGGTATGGGACAAGTGGTACGATTGGATTAAGCGCAAAGAAAGTGGATAAGGATATACTTAGTAAAGTATAAAGATAATCTTGACATTAAGAACTGATAATTGGGAGTGTATTTCCATGCTTATTTCATATAAATATCAACAATGACTTCACCGTCATGAGGATGAATGTGGGACTAGCTTATGAAATATATAATGTGTAGAGGAGAAGAATATATATATAGATATGTAAAAGAATAGAAATGAAATGTCAATTATAAGATATGATCTATGTATATGAATATTTTATTATGGTTTTAATTGTTTTTATAATTGTTTGATAATTTAATAAAGTTTGTAAAAAAAAAAAAGATGTAAGAATGGTAGGATGGCAAGACTGTAATTTGATACACATCTTTACAAACTAGCAGCCACAACACAGCTGCCCCTCATAGCAGCTGCTTGGATATATTTCCAAACCATCTAATACCACCCCATTGCAAAAAATAAAAAACATAAATGCATGACCATACTAATAGCAGATACAATAGCATATAATTCTCTTGGATTGTTCGCTTTTATTAATAGCATTTAACTTAGTTTATCATATGGAATTTTGAATGACCTGTGAATGAGGTCTGGGGCAGTGGTGAGTTGCTACCGGTTCTCCCCGGTTTTTGCGAACCGGTAGTGGAAATTTTGAGTAGTTCAGGGAACTAGTAAATACCACCTCTGCCTGCCCCCACCCCCCAATCTATTCGCTGCCTCCCAAGTCCCAGCTGATCAGCTAGAAGGAAAAAATCAGGGCTCACTTGACAAAGAAGAGGGGGAAAAAAACCAAGATACCGTAGCTTTAAATTGAGAAGCCAAGAAGCCTCCCAACTGATCGGCTAGAAGCTTTTTTTTCTGAAGCTCTTTTTCAGAGGCTTTCAGAGGCAGAAAAATAAGTTTTTTTTTTCTGAAACAGTTTCAGCAGTTTCAGAGGCAGAAAAAAAAGCAAGGCACAGACCTCACAACCAATGAACCTGTTGCTAAAATTCACCTCTGGAAACAGCTGATTGGGGGTATTCTGGGAGGCCGATCCACCCGCCAATCAGCTTATTTCTTATTTTCCTCCCCAAAAACTAAGGTGCGTCTTATACTCCGAAAAATATGGTAGCTTGATCCTATGAGTGAGGAATTATTGAATCCACTTTTCTTTCTTATCTTTAACAGGAACTTCCATTCCAAAAGAAGAGATTTTGGAGCATTACGAAAGTCCCTTGATGAATCTCAGCCTGGCAAACATGAATGCTACAATAGAGCATTTTGACTCGAATAGTAACAATTATTCCAAAGAAAACCAAACTGTCATATCCTCAGTCAACTTAATCATCTGCTGTATGGGACTCCCATTGAATGGAATTGTCATCTGGCTACTCGGCTTTCAGATTAAGAGGAACCCTTTCACCGTATTGATTCTGAATTTAGCTATTTCTGACTTTGGGTTTATCATATTTGCGGCTATATATTCAATTAGTAATTTTATAGATCCACCATTTCAAAGTTGGGTGATATTCTATTTGTTCGACGTCATGTATATCAGTGGCCTGTTTCTTCTGACAGTCATCAGCATTGACCGGTGTGTTGCTGTTCTCTTCCCAATGTGGTATCACTGTTCTCGGCCAAAGTATTTATCCCCTGTGGTATGTGCCCTTCTCTGGCTCTTTTCTTTCCTACTTGTTGGAATTGGCAGCAATCACAAGAATTTAGTTTTTTCTTATGTTCCCTGGGATCTCGATTGGATTGTGACTGCTGTGCTTTGCCTTCCATTGATCACAATCTCTACTCTGATCCTATTCATCAAAATATGCCTTAAATCCGAACAAGTCAAACGGGGGAAACTTTTAGTGATGATCTTAATTACTCTTCTCTGTTTCCTTATTCTTACCCTTCCACTATATAGTTATTTGTTCATTACTCTTTTTCTTGGCACCAATTATACCTCACTCAGTCTTCAATTTCTTTTATATCGTAATCTCTGTGCTTGCCTAAACAGTAGCATTAACCCAGTGATCTATTTTCTGGTTGGGAGAAAGAAACAAGCTCAGGCCAAGGAGAGTATGAAGACCATTTTTCAAAGAGTCTTCAAAGAAGATGAAGTTCCTGGAATCAGATAGAAGTTTACAAACACAGTTTTAAGTTGATTGCTTCCTGTTATTTTCACCCAGTTAAAAGTGGGTGAAAATCACATTGTCCAATAGAGGTGCTGGCTGGTTGCTTGGTTACTTTCTCCTCCTTCTCCTCCTTCCAGTTGAAACGTCCTTGGTTCTCACAAGAAAACTTTTTTATTTTGGCTACAAAACTTCCAGCTATCTATTTTCCTCCCCCCGTTCCCATCCAGTGGCAACCCTGAAGCTGTAAAGATGGCCATAGTCAGATTCACTTCATTGAGTTGAAGTGAACCCAATTCATGACACGAGTGTTGTATGTTATGATTTATCGTTGACATGAGTGTTGTATGTTATGATTGATGATGAATGAATTTTATGATGATTATGATCATGATTTATCACGTTGCTTGTATGTATGCTGAGAGCTTTTACACTGGAGACAAATTCCTTGTGTGTCCATTCACACTTGGCCAATAAAGAATTTTATTATTATCTATTATGTTACAGGAGTTCATCTTGAAGATTGGGGAAATATGTGGAAAGCATTTGTTTTCCCTCTATGCTATTCAGTACTGTAACTGAAACTGTTTTGCAATTGAGATCCATGATATAGAGCTATATCTTAGGGATAGTGCTGAGAATTGGATCCTGCATTCACAATCAAATGTATGTAGACTGTGTGAAGAGTAAGTGGAAGCAACAGGATTCCTTTTTCAGTAGACATCAATGAGATTAAACTTTACAGCTGTACTCTTATATCTGGGCTTCAGTCTCCTTCAACCAGGGGTGAAATGCTCCCAGTTCGGACCAGATCACCCGATCCGGTAGCGATGGAGGCGGGTGGTTCGGAGAACTGGTAGCAAAAATCCCTGCTCCACCCCCATACCCAGCTGAGCCGCCCAATCATCAGAGGCTTTTTTTTTTTTTTACTTTTAAAAGCTTTTTTTCTACAGCCTCTTTGGCCGAAAAAATGCTTTTAAAAGTAAAAAAAAAAGCCTCTGATGATCGGACGGCTCAGCTGGGATCCTCAAAGGCTTTTAAAAGCCTTTTTTTCTTTTAAAAGCCTCTGACGATTCAAGCTGAGTTGCCTGATCGGAAGAGGCTTTTTTTCTTTTAAAAGCCTCTGACGATTCAAGCTGAGTTGCCTGATCGTCAGAGGCATTTAAAAGAAAAAGAGCCTATGCCAATCAGGCAACTCAGCTTGGATCGTCTAGAGCCTTTTGAAAGCATTTTTTAACAACTTCTTTGCCGAAGAGGTTGTAGAAAAAATGGTTTTAAAAGTAAAAAGTAAAAAAAAAATGGCCATGCCCACCCAGTCACATTACCCCCCACCAAGCCACGCCCACAGAACCGGTAGTAACAAATTTTAGATTTCACCACTGCCTTCAACATGTTGATTCTGGCTCCTGAGTATACTAAGAGCATAGACTTCCAGCTGTCAAGGTTCTGACTGATAAACCCAACCGAAGCAAGCATGTTTGAAACCTTCAGAAGTCTGAATGCAACACTTTATTGAGTGCATCATTTCAGCACTGATGAAGGCAAAACCAGCTCTACCTAATTCCCATGCAAACCCACATAGTTACAATATGGATTTCCCCCTCTCCCTATTAGTGCAGCTCACATTGTCCAATTGAGTGCATTGCTTTGATATTTATTTATTTATTTATTATATTTCTATACCGCCTTTCTCCCGAAGGACTCAAGGTGATGTACAGTCAAGAAAAATATAGACACACAAACATCATAAAATTGCTAATTAAAATTATTACTTAGTTTGGTCAATTATGGTCGATATGAGAAAGCGTCTCTGGGGTTGGCAAATATCTGCCGAGTGTCCTTGGTTCTCACAGTTCTTCTTCTTGAAGTCTGGAGCCTGCATTCCATCTCACCCTCCCCTTCCCCCTAGATCTTTGGCATGATCATGATGGCAGCAGCAAAAGTATGCTTCAAGATAGACACCACCATCCTGAAGTGATGTTGTGGAGAGAACTGTCCAGGATAGCTTATTTTCAGCTGCCTTGGGAAGTCTTTTACAGTCTTGGTGACTGTAAAAGTCCCTTTATCTTCTGGATCATTGGCCCCCACGGAAAGGGCTCGCAACTTGGGTGTCTTCCTGGATTCACGGCTGTCTTTAGAAGAGCACTTGACGGCCGTGACCGGGAGGATTTTTCATCAGGTTCGCCTGATCCGACAGTTGCGTCCCTTTCTAGATCGGGACTCCCTACGCATGGTCACTCATGCCCTCATCACCTCCCGTCTGGACTATTGTAACGCTCTCTACATGGGGCTCCCCTTGAGGAGCACTCAGAGGCTCCAACTGGCGCAGAGTGCGGCCGTGCGGGTGGTAATGGGAGCGACGTGGCGCTCCCATGTAACATCTCTCCTGCGCAAGCTGCATTGGCTCCCGGTGGTCTTCCGAGTGCGCTTCAAGGTCTTGGTTATCCCCTTTAGAGCGCTCCATGGCTTAGGACCTGGTTATTTACGGGACCGCCTGCTACCACCAATAGCCTCCCACCGACCAGTACGCTCCCATAGAGAGGGGAAGAGCCTTCTCTGTGGGGGCACCTACTATCTGGAACGAGCTCCCCCCGGAGATACGGAGGATCCCGGATCTGCGTACCTTCCATCGTGCGCTCAAGATGTTCTTATTTCATCAAGCTGGCCTGACCTAAGTCTTTCCCCTTTTTAAATGGAAATTTTAAATTTGGTTTTAAATTATTGGGGTTTTAAATTTTCAGCCAAATTACTTAATTCGTTTTACTTTATTTTAAATTTTGTATTTATATGTTTTATTCTATGGCTGTTCACCGCCCTGAGTCCTTCAGGAGTAGGGCGGTATACAAATTGAAATAATAAATAAATAAATAAATAAATAAATAAATAAATAAATAAATAAATAAATGGATGTTAGACTGCAGCCAAGGGAGACCTCACCAAATAAGGTCACCTCACAGGTGAAAAGAACACTCCATTTATTCAGTATAGTGACTTGAGACAATCAAATATCTAACCATTGTGCCTGTGGTGCCTTGAGACTTCCAAAGATCTAACATCTGAAGAAGCTAAAATCATGGTTTTATTTGCTGTCACTGCCCTTGTCACATCTATCAATGGAAATCAATATTGGTGTATGTCCAATAATAATATACCAAATACAATACAGATAATCTTTGACTTATAATACTAATTGGGACCAGAATTTACATCACTAAGTAATGCAGTCATAAAGCATAATGACATCTCTTAGCATTGGCAATTCATTTAGTCCAGGGGTCAGCAACCCGTGGCTCTGGAGCCGCATGTGGCTCTTTCATCCCTCTGCTGTGGCTCCCTGTTACTGGTTGGCACCACAATTTGGAGAGGAGCTTCTAGGATTTTTGGTTAGGACAAGTATAGGAAAAAGGACACTGCACTAGGAAGAGAGTCTATGGTGGGGGAACCGGACTTCCGATCAGCTCCAGAATTGAACGGGGGGCTTCCGGTTAGGACCTTTGTGGCTTTTTGAGGGTTTAAGGTTGCTGACCCCTGGTTTAGTCCCAGTTGCTATCATTAACTGAATCCCATGTTTAGTCAAGACAATTTTCAGCCAGGTTAGCGAGAGAGCTGGCAGGAAATTGTAACTCCCAGTCCTGCAGGCCGATAAGTGGTTGCTCTTGAGTGGGGGAGGGAGGGAGGGAGGGACAGAGGGGGTGCATCTGGGAAGTTGGGGAGGGGTGAGGAAGTTCGAGAGGGTGCATGAGAGGTATTGCATACATGAAGGTGAGTGTGAGGCATTACACCAAAGTGTGTGATACACACACACATTTTTTCCTGCAGATCCTGCTATCCTCAGTCACTTCAGCTTCACTTCAATATTGTGACACAATAATCTTCTACTCACCAGCTTTGAAGAACTTGGTCCAGTGGTGGGTTCCTCCAGGTTCGTCCCGGTTCTCCCGAGCTGGTAGCTGTGATGATATGACGTCACCGAACCAGTTCTGCCACCCCCTGCCCCCCACCCACCCCCTGCCCCCCACCCACCCCCACGTTATTCTTACCTTTTATTTGGCCCCACCCCCAATCTATTGCTGCCTCCTGAGTCCCAGCTGATGGCTAGAGGGAAAAAAACTGTTTAAAATCTTGCCGCAGAGCTTCAAAGGGCCGCCCTACAGCTGATCAGTGTTAAAAGAAAACAAATGAGTAGACCAGTGCCTGCAAAAATACATGAGTAGATCAGTGCCTGCAAAAATAAATGAGTAGACCAGTGCCTGCAAAAATACATGAGTAGATCAGTGCCTGCAAAAATACATGAGTAGATCAGTGCCTGCAAAAAATAAATGGGTAGACCAGTGCCTGCAAAAATACATGAGTAGATCAGTGCCTGCAAAAATACATGAGTAGATCAGTGCCTGCAAAAATACATGAATAGATCAGTGCCTGCAAAAATAAATGGGTAGACCAGTGCCTGCAAAAAATAAATCGGTAGATTGGTACAGCTCTGCAAGCAGTTAAAAGCCTGGTAGACCAGTACCTCTGCTAAATCCTAAAGAATTGTCACATGACCATCAAGCCACGCCCACAAAATAAGCTACACCCACAGAACTAGTAGTAAAAAATTTTAGAACTCACCCCTGGCTTGGTCCATTAAGATATGAAATGATTTTGGAAGGTTAATGTGATCCAGAGACTTGGAAATATAATAGACAATTTTTAATAGTTGTGTATTTCTGTATCTGGCATTTCATATTAAAATCTTCCATATTGATACCTTGATAATCTAATAAAATTTCAATTGCCTTTTTCTGGTTTGAACTCATTTTCCAATTTTTAACAGGAAGATCAAAGCTTTAGGAACAAGCGTTCATGATAAAAATTCTCAGATGAGGAAACCAGTCCAGCTGAAATACAAAATAATAATTTTCCTTTACGGCAGAGTTGATTAGATTTGTGGGCAGCCTCCTCCTTTGATGGCTGGCGATTATCCCGCAAAAACAGGAAACAAATCCTCTTATCTGATTTGATGT